TGGTGTCTCTGGTGGTGATGGCGATGGCGATTGTTAGGATGGAGATGATGCCAGAAATGGCGATGCTGGCGGTGATGGTAGTGATGATGTGGTTGATGATAAAGATGGTGATGAGGATGAGAGGATCAGGACGAGGATGAGGGTGATGATGAGAAGCTGATGATGATTCTGATCAGGATGAGGATGAGGATGAGTATGATGATGACGTCGCAATAGTGATGATGGCGACGATGGTGACGATAATCACGATGATGGCGATCGTGATGATGTTGGTGATGGCGATGGTGATTCTGGTGATGATGCAGGTGGCGACGATAATGACGATGATGCTGATGGTGATGGTGGTTGTGACGCTGATGATGGTGGTGATGATGATGATGCTGGTCATGATGGTGATGGTGATGATTGGGATGGGGGTGGGGGTGGGGGTGGTGATGGTGATGTTGATGCTGGTGATTATGACGACGATGATGATCCTAATAAAGAGGAGGAGGAGCATGATGATGAGGAGGAGGATCGGGATCGGGATGAAGATAGTGGTGGTGATGGTGATGGTGATCATGATGGTGCTAATGATGATGTTGATGACGGTGATGGCGATGGAGATGCCTCTGATGACAGTGGTGATGGTGATGATGATGTTGCTGGTATTGACGATGTTGATGATGATGGTGATGATGACGATGCTGATGGGTTCGATTCCGGTGGTGATTATGTGGTAATGACGATGGTGTTAATCATGGTGGTGATGGTGTTAACGATGATGATGGTGAGGATGGTGATGATGCGGGTGATGGTGATGATGGTGATGGGGATGTCTCTGGTTGTAATAAGGATGGTGATGATAATGATGGTCATCATCCTGATGATCATGATGATCATTCTGGTGAGGATGAGGATGCGGATGACGATGGTGGTGATGATGGTGTGACGATGGTGATGACGGTGACGATGATCATGACGATGGCGATGGTGATGATGCTGGTGATGGCGATGATGATTATGGTAATGATTCAGATGACGACGATTACGACGATGGTGATGCTGATGGTGATGGTGGTTATGATGCTGATGATGGTGGTGATGGCCATAATGGTGATGATGATGATTGTGACGACGGCGATGGTGGATAGGGATGGGAATGGTAATGGTGATGACGATGATGATGATGAAGAAGAATAAGAGGATGATGATGATGATGATGATGATGATGATGATGATGATGATGATGACGAGGATGATTATGCTGGTGATGACCATCGTTCGGGTATGGTAGGAATGCAGGAGATGAAGAACCAGCACGTTGTTAGAGTCTGGCGGGCAGCCGCAACCGCGCTGCAGCCGCAACGGTTGCCCGATGGTCCGTCACACCTTGTTGTTTCTGCACCTCGCCGCGCGGGTGTGACGGCCACCAGTGACTGGAGAGCGACTCCAGCCAGGCAGTACGGGCCCGAGGATGGACGAGGCAAGGCGACTACAGAGATGATGACCCAGCGAACGCAATCACCCAGAAAAGGAGGGATTTGATGAAGCACGCCTCCGTGGAAGTGAAGCACGCCTTCTGTGTCACGACTCCATGAAGCACGCCTCCGGGAAGCACAGCACGATGAAGCACGCCACGATGAAGCACGCCTGATGAAGTACCCCCGTGATGTAGCACTCCCCGGTGAAGCACCCCCTCATGAAGAATTCCACGATGAAGTATTCCACGAATCACTCTTTGATGGAGCACTACACAATGACGCAGTCCACGCCGAAGGATTCCTTGTTGAAGTACTTCTCGGGATGCGCTTCTCGATGAGGCATCCACTGGTGAATCACTCCTTGGTGAGGCGCTCTTTGGTGAAACACTTCGGGACACGTGCTTCCACGAAGTATGCCTCCGTGAAGTACGCCTCCGTGAAGCAACCTTCCAATGAATTACGCCACACTGTAGCACACCCTAGCCCTACCATTCCATGCCACAGAAATCACGCCACGACGAGGAGCCCCTCGAAGAAGCCTTCCCCGATGAAACCTGCCACAATGAAGCGCACGCACTCGATGAAAGCCGCCGCTAGGAGGCACGACTCCGTGAATCACGCATCCGTGAAGCACGCGCACGGTGAAACACGCCACAATGTAGCACCCCCGAAGGAGCTTTCCACGACGTGCAACTCTATAGTAAAGCCACCACGACGAGGAAACCCTCGATGAAGCCCTGCCCGACGATATCTGCTACAATAAAGCGCACGCACACTCGGTGAAACACGCCGCTTGGAGACGCGCATCCATGACGCACGCTTCTGTGAAACACGCCACGAATGATGAAGCACGCCGTTTTGAATCACGCCTCCTTGAGGACGCACGCCGCCATGGATCCCTGCGGGAAGCCCTCAATGAAGTTCGCCTCCATGATGCAGCGCGCCACCCCGATGAAGACCACGATGAAGCCATTTATTTATAAAGCCCTCAAGGGAATCCTCCACGATGAATCACGCCATTTCCTAAGAGGGCCCGCTTCCGTGAAGCACGCCACGATGGAACATTCCACGATGTAGCATGCCCCGATAACGTACCCAACAGCGATGCCCCCCTTCCACGAAACACTACACGGTAAAGCACAGCGCGATGAGGCACGCCACGGTAACACATCCCAGGATTAAGCGCTCCACGAAACACTCGCCGGACGCGCACCTTGATTAAATGCCGCATGATAGTGTGCACCCCGAAGAAGCACAAACATCTGACACATGGCGTTGGTGACCGATTTGAGAGCGCGAAACTGCGCACCAGGAAACCACGAGGTAGATCTCACGACGCTGCTGGCATAGTAGCATCAGCTGGAAAGGCCGAGCCCAATGATTGCCTGGCTCTGGTGTCGCCTGCGCACGACGGACACCTGGAACCCAGACAGCATAGGTTTTTTCTCCACACACATTAGCGTGACGCGCGATGAGTGCGTACCTCCTGAAAGGAGGAGACGATAACAGACAAAGACGTTCGCGGCAACCCCACCACTGCGGCGACGCTGGTATTGAAGGTGGAAGCCGATGCATTTCGTTTGCGCACGTTATTGGGCACGGGGGATCAACACGCGCGGCGCAGCAGCAACGGTTGCCCGACGGCCCGGCACACCGTGTTGTGCCTGCTCTTTGTTTCGCGGGTGTGGCCGCCACAGGTTTGGAGAGCGAGCGATTCCAGCCAGGCAGTGCGGGCCTGAGGACAGACGAGGCGAGGCGACTGCAGTGATGATGGTGATGGTGATGGTGGCGATGGTGGTGATTCGATAGTCATGGTGATTGTGGCGGTGATGATGATTGTACGGAGGATGACGACTCCATGGTGATGATTGTGGGGATGATGATGGGGATGGGGATGGAGGTCGAAATGATGATGGTGGCGATACGCATTATGATGATGATGATGCTGATGATGATGATGATGATGGCGGGGTCGTGGTGGTAATAGTGGTGATGCTGATGGTAGTGGCCATGATGATGACGACCGTTCTGATGACGATGATGGCGACGATTGTTGCGGTGGTGGCGGTTGAGGCTGTGATGTTGATATTCCTGTTGATAATGATGGCGATGGCGATGACGATGATGCTGCTGCTGATGATGATGATGATGATGCTGATGATGATGATGATGATGATGATGATGATGATGATGATGATGGTCTTGATGGTCAATATGACTATGATGCTGATGATGACGGCGATGATGCGTAGGGGACAGGAGGTGGAGGAAAATTGTCTCATGTGATCTTCGTCTTTTCTAATGGCCTCCAGCCCAGCCCGCCACCGTGCCTGGATTATGGATCTGAAGCCTATTTGATGTTGGTTGGTTGGAATGTCGTGGGATGTCTTTCGGAGATCCTTGGAGGCAGTTTTGAACAGTTTCTTGGGGGCGTTGTGGAGTATCTTGGGGCCGCTATTGAGCCTCTCGAGGGCCTTTTGGGGCCTCTTGGGGGCCCCTGTGGGCTTGTGGGGCCTCTCTGGGGACCTCTTTGGGCAGAAGGCTCGGATTTTCGGCTCGTGCTGGTCCCCTTCGGGGGCCGTTTTGGATGCCTCTTGGGCCGTCTTGGGCGCATCTTGGGCCGTCTTGGGGCGCTCTGAGGCCGTCTTGGGGCCCTATTGGAGGCCTCTTGGGCCGTCTTGGGGTGATTTTGTGGACCCCTCGGGCCGTCGTGGGGCGTCGGAAAGCAGAAAAGGTAAGAGCACCAATATCTGTTCACAACCAAAAGAACAATCAGTGATGTTCGCCTCTTGGGGGCCTCTTGTAGACCTCTCGTGGCGCCTTGGAGTTCTCTTGGACCATCCTGAGGCAATCCTGGGTGTTTTGGAGCGCTCTTTCGGCGACTCGACACATGGGAGTGTTGGGGAGGTCACTTTGGTGGGGGGGGGGGGGCACAGCGTCCGCAGGAGGCGCAGGAGGAGATACTCCAAAACTCACGCGGGCCACCCCGGGCCGGCCCAGGAACGCCTAGGAAATTGAGGGACCGTGCCCTTCAGACAGTTCTGGCTGCAGAAGCAGCACAGTTGTGAGCTTTGGAGCGATCCACTTCGGGGTAGAGGCACGGCGAAGGATATTTGAAAAGCTCCCATGGAACTCGTTTGGGCCGTCTTCGAGCTGCTTTGGCCTCCTGTGAGGCAGTCTTGGCGGTCTCTTGGGGCCGTCTTGGGGCCCTCTTACGCCGTCTTGAGACTCACTTGGACCGTGGTGGGGCCCCCTTGGTCGTGTGGTAGGGGTCTGGGAGCCGTCGTAGGGCCGAAGGGCCGTCTGAGGGTGTCTTGGGTTCCACGGGAGGCCTGCTGGTCCGCGCGCCAGGGAGGCGGGCCTGGCGCCGACCCGAGAAATCAGCGCGGACCTTTTTGTTTAATTCGCGGGTCGAGAGCGCACCTCTTCCGGTCGAAGCTAAGCGGGCCGCGCGAAGCTTGAATTAACAGAGGGGGGGACGTTGCGGCGTCCCCACAGCTGGCTACCGCAGCTGTATCCCTACCTGGCTCCTGGAAGGATCTCAACGGCATCCTCCGCAAGTTATCCTACAACCTGGACGCCCAGGACCCATGGACAGTGTTGGGCTTCGGGCCCATCAACGGCCCTGAGCCCACCGAGATCGACATCCTCTCCAGGGCTCGCCTGGCGAAGACGCTGCTGGGCATGGGCCAGGACGACGCGTGGGGGGAGAGCGATCGGAACCTTGCCCTACAGGCAGCGACAAAGATTGCTGAGGTGACCGACCTCTGCGTGAATGGCCTCCCGGACGCGCGGCGCGCCCGCAAGCTACTGCGGCCCGACCGCCTGCCCCGCTGGAAGGAGCTGGGGGGCGACGCCATCGCTGCGATCCGGCAGTGCCCAGGGGCCAGCCAGGCATGCTTCCTCACCCAATGGTCCCAGGTCCTCGACCCGATGGGGCCGCACGAAGGCATTGTCTCCGAGCACCGTCGGCTCTCGGACATGTTGGAGAAGGGCGACGTGAAAGTCTTCGCTGAGCTGGCAGGCAAGTCAGTCACGGCATGGGCACCCACCGACAAGGGGGCCCTCAACAGGCTGCTGTCGCACTTCTTCCGCACACCCTCGGACGAGACTCCCGCCTCGATGTTCCTCCTCGTGCCTCTCCCGTCCTTCCCCGGGGTGCACACGGAAACGCAGCTTCTGGATCTCTGGTTCCACCCGCTCCTGGGCGAGAAGCACATGGCCATCGTTAAGCGCAGCAGCCTCCTCACCCAGCCGATGGAGTACATCCTCTCTGGACCTCGCGGGCCCCGGCACGTCCGCCAGGGACTGGCTTGCTTTCATATCTCTCGCGCTGGCGGCCGCTCCCCGCCCGAGATCATCCTCACGCGTACTCCGTTGCTTCAGGCCCCAAGCTCTCCCAGCATCACCGTGGACGCGCCGTCCGAGCGGATCACCGAGCTCATGCTCAAGCTGGCGACCTCGGAGTTCAAGGAGTTGAAGGTCCGGGATCCCATCAGGAGCATCGGCAGCACGACGGAGCTTCCCAGAACCGCACTTGAGTTCTTCCTCCCGCAGGGCCTCTCCCCGGTTGGCGTCGAGATATTCGTCAGCCGGCTGCGGCGCACCTTCCTCTCCCCCGACGTGCTCGTCGGGCCCAAAACGTTGTTCACCGCCGACGATGCCCTGATACTTGAATGCAGCTCCCCCTCGGTCATTTGCCAGGCCAACGTGCTGTGCACCGAGGCCATCTATCTCGCCCCTGACAAGGCCCTTGTTCGGACGGAGGCCAGCGTGGACACTTGGGTGGGCCTCATGGATCGACTATGCAAGGAAGGTGAGCTCACCATTATCACCAAGCTGCGGTGGAAGGCGAGCAAATTTGGAGGTCGCCCCTTCGCCCTGCCCACGGCTACCTCCGCAGCGTTGGCGGCATCCCGACGCCGCCGAGGCCAAGCGGGGCGCGCCCCCCCAGCTGCAGGACTTCATCGCGGAGGTCCAACTACTTAACGGAGAGCCTGGCCTCCAGGATAGGCTCATCTTCAACTCAATCGTGGAGCGCGCCTGCCAGAGCACGGGCCTCGATCTGGCCGCTTTCGACGAGAGCACTCCCAGGCCATCGGGCTTCTGGAAGCACCTCGCCTCCCATGATCCTGCCGCTCCCCCTGGACGAGCCCGCTTCTACCTCAGCAGCATGTCCGATGTGACCAAGGTACGCCAGGCCCTGCACGGACAATTGGTGCAGGTGGGCACTGATTGGTTGGCTCTGTCCGTGCAAAAACGACACTATGGACGCGGGCCCCCTGTCGGGAAACGGGGGCCAGGTACCCTAGACGGTCCGAGGGCACCTGGACCCGGGGCGGACCGTCGATGCATGTCCCAAGGAATTCAAATATACAGCCCGGACGGTTCTACCTGCTGGACTCTGGACCTCGACATTGTCCTTCGCTGCCCCCGTGGTCAGCCGAGTACTGTGGACCAGGTCGTGGAGCCCGACATTGGAGGGGCCACCGGCGCACCGAATTCGATTTCCTCTCCTATCAACAACCGCGCATCTCCTGCCACTAGATATGCACATTCGTCGCGGAGTGCTCCTTTCTCTTCTTCTCGGACCTCGGTGAACATCGCACCTCTTCCTCCACAAGTGCTACCTTGGCTTTTTCAAGATGCAGCCAGTGCCAATCCTCACAGGGACGTCCCTCTTCATATTCTTCGTCGTCAGGCCTTGTTTCAGGCGCTCGGGGTGCCCGCGCAGACCACGAGCTCGAGCCCGATGCCTGTTGGCGCCCCTCCTCCCCGATGGAGCCTCCCGGCACGGGCGACCACAGGACAGTATTCGGGCAAGCTGTCCATGGTATCCTGGAACACCCAAGCACTATTCTCCATAGACCACGCCAAGCACAGGGCGAAGACGAAGCACATCATATCGCTTATGGCGTCACACGACATCGGATGCTGGTCAGAGACGCACGGCACGTCCGATCGATGCCGCCCCTGGAGAAGTCCGGCAGGCTGCACTTCCTGGTGGCCCCCCGGCCCCTCCACCGCAACGGCGGGGGTCGGCATCACAGTGAAAAGTGACTTTTTGAAACAGTTCGACGAGGATCCATTTTGAGGTCCTCTTTCCAGGCCGTGCGGCTGCGCTTCACCTTGCGGGCCAGTGCGGTTCGCTGGTCATTTACGCTCTGTATTTCCACACCGGGGGCGCCACTCCCGTCGAGGACATCGCGGAGGCAAAATGCGACCCGCTGGACGGCACCCCCTCCAACTTCGAGTTGCGCGAAGCGCTCCGAAAGAGATTGTCGCGCCACATGAAGCCTCGCGAACAGGTGCTGAGCCTCGTGGGCGGGGACTTCAACTACGTCGTGGACGCCGCGGACCGGTTCTGCGCTTCCACAGCGATTGTTCCAGCTGGCACAGCTTGATCGAAGTCCCCTTCGGCATCCACGAGCTCCACCAGCCCGAACCCATATATGCCTCCCCCGACTCCCGCCCCCGAATCGACCGCATATATTGCAACCAGTTCGATGTGGAGTACTTGGATAAGGCGTTCTCCTGCACTGCCCTTGGTTGGAACCCTACCCTATCGCGGCGCTGCCCTGTCAGCTTTCGCAAATGCATTGCCGCGAAGCACCGGGAGGGGGAGGGCACCATGGGGGGCCAGACGTTGGAGCACCCCGACTTCCCGCGGCAGGTGGCATTGGCGTGGCAGGATCTTCTGCGTGAAAACTGCGACGCCACAGGCCTCGGCAAACTCCAGCTCCTCAAGAAGGCGATGCGGAATGCCGAAAAGGCATTGAGCACCAGGGTGGGTGGCGCCCCCCTCGCGGAACAACTGGAGGATCGCATCGGAGTCGCCGTGAAATTCCTCAGAGCCTCGGAGGCCGGAGCCCCCGAGAGGATCTCCACCTGTCTCGAGCGCTACCCGCTCCTGGGCGACCTTGTGAGAAACCCGTGCGACTTCATATCTCCCTCCGGACCGAGACTGGCACGGCTGCGCCGACACATCATGGAGCTTCAGCGTGAATTCACCATGAAAGAGCTCACCAGCCTCCACGAGGATCTCAAGGAACTGGACCCAGAGCAGGCCACACGCCGACGCAAGAACAACCACATGCTTGTCTGCCGCCTGGCACCAGGCCGATGCTGCCAGCACTTCGCCCTCGACACCCCTTCAGGCCGCAGCACCGCGGACCCGCTGGAGATGATCGACATCCTGAAGACGCATTGGGGGAAGGTGTTTAAGAAAAGGGGATCGATCAGGACCTCCTGAACTCATGGCTCCACGAGGACGCTGACCACTTGCCCGAGGATTGCAGGAACCACCTCCCCCACGGGACGGCCCCCCTCGAGACGTTCAAGAAGGCCATCAAGCTCGCGGGCAACAGCGCCCCAGGCAAAGACGGCATCCCGTTCAAGGCATGGCGGAGGATCCGGGACATCGCAGCGAAGGCATTCCAGGAAGCCTTCGCGGACCTCATCCGGGAGGACAGCGTTGACCGCGTGAGAGACGAATGGGGCAGCTTCAATGAGAGCATCATGGTCTTCATCCCCAAGAAGGCTTCTTCCACCCGCGCTGATGGCACCGAGATCTTCTCCCCCAACAGCATGAGACCATTAAACATCACCAACACCGACAACAGGATACTCTGCAATGCAGTCCGTCTCCACGTCGAGCCCAGGGTCGCCCCCGGCGTATCCCAGGAGCAACGGGGGTTTATCCGGGGCCGCTCGATGCTCGCGAACGTCATCGACATAGAGGAGGAGATGATCACCAGTTCCTTGGGGCACGAGTGTCCCTTGGCTGTATTCCTGGACTTCGAAGCGGCCTTCCCCAGCATCAGCCAGCATTTCATTCAAGCTGTACTCGCCTCGCGTGGCTGGCCTCCATGGCTCAGGCATTTGATTGGAGTACTTTATGACAACAACTACTGCGCGCTGGCCCTCGGCGGCGCCATGGGGGAAGGCTTCAGCATCTCCGCAGGGGTCCGGCAAGGCTGCCCGCTATCCCCGCTCATTTTTGCCTTGGTCTCAGACGTCTTGATCCGCCGGGTCCGCAGACACGCCCCGGACATTTTGCTCGGGGCGTGCGCCGACGACATAGCCCTCATCCTGCGGAACGGCCCCGCAGAGTGCACCGTATTAGAAACACTTTTTGCCGAGTGCGAGTTCGTCTCCGGGCTGAAGCTCCACCGCGGCAAGTCCATCATAATTCCGCTCTCTCTTCGGCCCCGCGCCGATGTACCTGTTGACGTCGCTCGTCAGGCTAAGCTCTGGGCAGAATTTACGTTTGCAGGCCATGCAAAGTATCTGGGTTTCTACTTGGGCCCCACGCGGGGGACCGCGATCTGGGACAGCGTCTTCGCCAAGATGCGGAAGCGGGCCGTCGCGTGGAAGGACATTGGAGCAGGCATGCCGGTCTTCATCGCAGCCCTCCGCATCTACATCTTCCCGTTGGCGGGCTTCCTCTTACAGTTGGAAGCCCCCCCCGGGCATTGGGCGCAGACTGAGCGGATGCTTCTGGAAACGCTTTTCCCCGGGACCAGGGGGTGGGCTTG